GGGAGGGATGGGGTGGCTGGGTGATAGACATTGGGGAGGATATGTGCTATTGTGTAAGACTGATGAATCACAGTGTACCTCTGAAACAATATATGTTTAAAAAAAAAAAAGATAGTAGGAAGGGAAAAATGAATGCGGGGAAATCGGAGGGGGAGACGAACCATGAGAGACCACGGACTCTGAGAAACAAACTGAGGGTTCTAGAGGGGAGGGGGTTGGGGGGATGAGTTAGCCCGGTAATGGGTATTAAAGAGGGCATGTATTACATGGAGCACTGGGTGTTGTACGCAAACAATGAATCATGGAACACTACATAAAAGAAAAAAATAAATTAAAAAAAATTCTGTTTCAATTCTTTTACATAAATACCCAGAAGTTTGACTGCTGGATCATATGGTAGTTCTATTTCTTGAGGAACTTCCATACAGTTTTGCACAGTGGCTATACCATTTTGCATTCCCATCAACAGGGCTCAAAGGTTCCAATCCTACATCCTTGCCAACACCGATTTTTGTTTTTTGGGTTTTTTTGATAACAGCCATTCTAACAAATATGAAGTTATAGTTCATTGTGATTTTGATTTGCATTTCCCTGATGATCTGTGACACTGTATATCTTTTCATATTCCTTCTGGCTAAGTGTATATCTTCTTTAAAAAATGTCTATTGAAGTTCTTAGTCCCTTTTTAATCAGATTAATAGGGTTTTTCTTGGGAGCGCCTGGGTGGCTCAGTCGTTAAATGTCTGCCTTCGGCTCAGGTCATGATCCTAGGGTCCTGGGACCAAGCCCCGCATCGGGTTCCCTGCTCAGCAGGAAGCCTGCTTCTTCCTCTCCCACTCCCCCTGCTTGTGTTCCCTCTCTTGCTGTGTCTCTGTCAAATGAATAAATAAAATCTTTAAAAAAAAAAATAGGGGTTTTGTTTTTTTTTTTTTTTTTGCTATTGAGTTGTACAAGTTCCTTATATTTTGGAATTGAACCCCTTTTCTGATTATGGTTTGCAAATATTTCCTCCCATTCTCTAAATTCCCTTTCACTCTATGGATTTATTGAGGCTCTTGTTTCTTATTCGTGTTTTCAATTCCTTCTTTTTTTTTTTTAGAAATATCAAATATATTTTATGTTCTTATTTTAGTAATTCCTAGTAAGTGAAGTTTTGCATGTCAGCTTTCTGTTATTTCTGCTGGTTCTCATGTACAATGTCTTGATCTCTTCCGTGCTTTGTGATTTTTATTATAGTTTCTTGTTCACTATTACTTTATTTGTAGTAATTCTTTGACACCTGGGTTAAAGATCCAGCCTTCTGGAGAAACTTTCCATTTGTTTTTGCAAGATGCCTACAGGTACTACCAATCCAGAACAATTTAAAATAAATTCTCAACTTGGGATTTGGGGGGCACCATGTAAGGTGATGTGAATTCAGTCCTGAACCAATAATGCAGACCAATGTATGGTTATGAAAGCCGGCAACGCTTGCTTCCTTCTCCTCTGCTCCACCCAGAGTCCAGGCCAAAGAATTTCTGTATCTGACATTTTTAGCTGTTTTCCAGTGGGGACATTTTTAATAATGATTATTA